AATTATCAACTATAATAAATTAATTATGTGAAATGTTCAATCAATTTGGATATGAAATAATAATATATAATAACAAACTTACTTCTTCACATTCTCCATCTTTAATTGCATAGTCATCTTCACATTGAGTACATACACCCATTGAACATAAAGCACAATGAGAACCACATTGATTACAAGTAAAACTACCTGATTTATCTTTTCTTAATTCATATCCAAATTCACATCTTTGGCATGATTCAGCATCAAAACATGAACTACAATGACTTGAACAATTTTGACATTCACCAGTGAGAGATACGTATTGATTATCTAAACATGAAACAGCATAAGTTAATGAAACAAATAATATAATACAAATAAATACCTTCATCATGAGATAAATTTTTTAGTATTAATGTATTTAAGTTTTAATCAAATAAAAAGATATACAACTTCTTCTATATTAACAAGAGTATATTCTTTTTTTCTTTCTTTTCTTTCTACATCCTTCTTTTTTTTATATTTTTTATTAAACTATAAAATAATAAATGTTAATTATAATTTATAATAAATAAAATATTTAATTATTGTATAGTTTAATTATTTCTTAGTGTTAATTGAATTAATAATTTCATTAATTCTCACTAAATAATCAATATTCCAATCTTTAATTACAAATCTATCATTGTTCCTTTGAAAGAGTTTTGTTTTACTACTTACTTTTAGAGCAATAACAATATTATTTCCATCAAATCCTAATGATTCGATTAATTGATATGGTATTTTCCATTTAAATTCAGTTAATTCTCCAACTTCTTTTTCTACACCAATCATTAGTTCAAATGTAAAAATAATTCCTTTAATTTTATTATCTACAACTTGTTTAATCCAATCATAAAATTTTAATTCTTTAAAAGCACCACCATCTGCTTCCATTAACATTGACCATCCTTGTGACTGAAGATAATCAAAACAAATAAGTTGTTCTGGACAATACCTTGGTGGTCTAATTCGTTCTTTAGCAATTTGTCCAAATGATATTCCTGTTAATCCATCATTAACACTTTTAAAAAATCCTACAATTCCATCTAATGGTTTTACAACAATTCCTGCGGCACCAACTAATGCACCACCAATAAATCCTGCTGGTGCTAATTGTTTCTTTTGTGTTCCAGCAAGATCAGTTAATCCAACAGAAGTTTTCCAAACACCTTTAACTCCACGAGCAACAGAACTAACAAGATTTTTTGTACCATCTTTTAAAGAATATTCAAAAGTAGATTGTTGTGCTTTTACTAAACTATCAGGAACATCTTTTCTAGGAATATTATCTTGAGTTTTTAATGATGTTGCAATTAAATTTTTTGAGTCTATAGAATCAGTTAAATAAATTCTATTAAAGAATAAATCAAATTCATGTTTAGTAGTTTCATCTATTCCATCCATAGAAGTAATTCTAAAAACAGTTTGTTCTTGATTAATACTATCAGAAGAATTACCAATAATTGCTCTAAGTCCAAATAATTTACCAACAACAATCCATTTTAAATTACCTAAATCATCCATTAATTTTTCTTTAATTTGATTAATAAATGTATTAGTAGAAAATCGTTTATTATAGATAGTTAATTTATTTATTCTAATAGGAATTCTGTCAATATCCATTTCAGCTATTTGATAAACTAATTTTACTATTTTTGAATATTTTGAAGGTTTTATTGTAGGTTTATTAATACTAATGTTAACATCAATTGAATTTAATTCAAAATCTTTAATAATCATTCTACGTTCATTTTTAGTAGTTGAAGCACTATTATTATTTTCAGTCATAAATAATGTTGGATATTCTTTTAATGTTTCAAAAATATGTTGTAAAATATCTGGTTCAATTAATACTTCTAGTGGTTGAATTGTTACAGTTGCTTTAGAAATATATCTTAATTGAAATAAATTACCTTTTGTTGGAGTAATTAATAATAATCCAATATGAAAAAATGATTTATTTGGATCATAAATCCAATCAAGTGGTCGTGGAGAAATAATAACTGGATTTTTTAATATATCTAATGATTGAAAATCTAATTGAATATAATCAAATTGCATTTCTAAACCAATATGTCTATCTGTTCTAACAATTTCTAATAAAATTGATTTAATATTTAATGATAATTCTTCTTTTGCTCCTTTTCCAAAAAATGAAATACCAAATAATGATAAACTTAATCCAATACTCCATTGAATTTGTTCTTTTTTACGTTTTGATGCACCAACAGTAATAACAGTAGTATTATCTTCAATGTCAATAAGTACTCTTCTTTTATTTACAACAAATTCATCATCAACATTTAATGGATCTATAGTAACTCCATTAATTACAAGTAACCTACGTCCATCAGGATTAGTCCAAGCAAATGGAACAGAATGTTGTGGAATTAATTTAACAGTTAATTTATTTCCAAATTGTTTTACATCAAAAGATTCATTAGTTCTATTATCTAGTCTTAAAAAAGGTTGTTCACAACCACTAATAAATGTATAAAATGAACCTTTATGATTTTGAGTTTTAATATTAAAAATTTTATAAGTATTAGTAGTTTTTAATAATATTTGATATTCATCTATTTGAGTAAGATCTAAATCTATTCCATTATTTTTAACAATTTCAACAGTAATTTTAGTAAAATGAATTGGAATTTTATCATCAGGAAATAATTTAATATTTAAATTATTATTTTTAATAGTAAATATTTCATTTGTTAAATTTTGAAATATAAAATGAGGTTTAATAATAATTCTTAATGATGAAGTAATTTGATTATTCACTTTATGAGGAATAACTCTAGTATATAAATTATGATTATTATTATGAATTGTTTTAGTTTCTCCTAATTGTAAATCAATGAATTCATTAGATAATTTATTATTTGATTCAATAAATATAATATTATCCATAAGAAATACATTTTTTTCATTTTTATAAGGAATTGGTGCATATAAATAATATGAATGGATTGATTGTATTTCTCCATAATTTTTAATTAAAAGTGGAAGTTGACTATCATTTTTAATATAATAAGGACATTCAAATATAATATTATTTTTTTGAATTCTTTGTCTAAAATAATATGATCCAATTACTAATAATGGAAGTTCTTTTTGATTAATTGAATATGTTGTTTTTGATGATTTTGTTATATTTGAGTTAAATGTATAACCATCGGCAACTGATAAAACAGTAATAAAATAATGAATTCTTTCATTTGATGATGCAATAGTAATCCCTCCTTTACTAAATGGTTCAACAATAATTGATTGTATTTTTTCTCTAGAATTAATCAATGAAGTATTACTTGTAGAAATAATTGGATTTTGTTGTTGAGTTGATTGACTTGGATTAAAACATTTATTTTGAAAGTTTAAAGGAGAAGAAGAAGAGAGGTCTTTTTGGTTAATATAAGTTTTTTGCATTATTTTAGAAGGAGAAAAAGAAGAAGTAAGATGATTATTGAAAGATAATGTTTTATTACTTGATTCTTTTAAATCTATAAACTTTGAAGTTTGACATAACGAAGGATGAGATAAAGGAACAGATGAAGTACTTGAAAATGAATTTTCATTTTTAATACAAGTAATTAACACTTTTAAAGGAAGATTATTAATAAATGTAAGAGGAGAATTAAAGACAATAGTTAGAGGAGTAATATAAGTAGATCCTAATTGAATAGAATTATGAAAATGAAAATGAACATCAATAAAATCATCAATA